ATATTATACAAGATTACTCTGTGAAATGTAGAACTCGGGATGTTACTTGATTTTCACCTTTGCTTTAAGGTAACAGTTTATTCCTACTTTTCTCAAATTCTAAAATTCAAACAACTAAATATATGGGGCCCTTTGCAGTTCACAATAATGATCTACAGATCATAAAACAATCTCTTCAAGAGCTTTCTATCCATATCATTCAAACTACTATAAATAATTTTGTGAACAGAATTTTTTTAGAAAGTATAAGCTAATGCTTAGCTTATTCTTATGAATTACTCTAAAATGTCACGTATCCAGATCAATCTTTTTATTCCATTTGACTTTGGTATTGAATTTGATTGTTGTGTTGATCTATCTTCCACTCCAGGCGATGGCACATGATTTTAGTTGTTGAGTTTCTGCTGCTTCTTTACTGTCTAATTTATTTGTGAATCTAGGGCTTCCATTGCCTTCTCATTGAAAATTCTAAATTATTACTGGAGTTGAGAGGCTACGCAATGGACTGAGTCTAAGAAGCTTTTCAAGATTTCTTCAGGAAAGTTCATGACTATTTCCTCTTGCTTTGTGGAAAGAGTGACTCTACCAGTCAAGATTGCAGTCAGATAGGAGTACCAGGTGACAAAATTCCTACTGGGCTTGTTCTTGTAGTGGCTCAGTCATGCCATTTTATCGAAAAAAGTGCCATCGTAAGAATTTCTGAGGCAAGGAACCAAATCTGAGTTGTTTCATAGTCATTAAATTAACTAAACACAATCATATATACCTCAATACAATCAGGTCCTCCTGTGAACGTTCTATGCTAAATTTCAGGAAATAACATCTTCTTTCTCTGATGGTGGTGTTTGAGGCTTTGAATATGGTCCAGCTTTTGTTCCTGCAGAAATTTGTTGCACCTTTCGGGCAGATGGTGAAATGTACTTGCACCTTGTAAGCATTCAACATTTATATCTTTTTCCATCATCAAAAATTTTTGTGTTATTCATTATGTTAGACATGCTGATACAGTTCAATTTTTGAATGAGTTAAGAAGCATTGTTTTTTAGTATGTTGTGACAATATGCCTATTTGACGAGGAGGTTGATTACATCCCATTGTGTGCAAAAAGCATTAATATCTCGTGTCAGTTTCATCTACTAACCATTCTTTTAGCTTCAACACTTTCTTTTCATGATTAATTGGTGAAGCCTCTTCAGAGTGAGAAAATGGGTTTACTGACTTTGTTGTGCTGATTTTAGTATACAGTCTCAAGGGCATGTCATACCTTTCCCACTTCCATATTTTAGTTTAGGCTAAAATCTCTTGTCAAGTAAAAAGAATGGTAGTATACCACGGAGAACATAAAAAATTGATTGTTAAAATAAAGTATTTTAGTTTAGAGCACGTAGTTTTCCAATATTTAGTGTACGGTGCATGACAAGAAAAAGAGATTATGCCTCAATACTTATTTTGATCTTTCCATACTTGCAGTATATGAAGATGAGAACTCAAAGAATAGCATTCTTTTTGAAGAAAAGGTTTACGGCACCAAATTGGGTCAAGGTTAGTACACATCTTGAAATTGTGACTTTACTTTCCCCCGAAATACTTCAGTCTCATAGCACGAAGAACCCAGAGATGTGCATATGTTTGTCGATCTACTTCTTCAGGAGGTATTTCCATAGTCATAATTCCATGCTCATTTTTTTTCCTTTTTATTTACGGTAAGGATTCAGTCAATTTTCCTTCTACATTATTTCAGTAGGTTGATTCCTGCTATCAGTGCCAATAAATATCACAACCTAAACTAGTTCAAAAACTAAAGTTTCTTTATTGGTCTCATATATAGTTTGAAGCAATAGGAACCGAATCAAAACAAATTTTGCCCCACGGCATTCATCATAAACATCGACGCACTGACAACAATGGGAGCACTACATCCTCTCACAGCATTACATTTAGAGACAATAGGATAGGCCGGTCAAATTCTCAGAAGGCTAGGAGCCAGCTTCTGGAGACACATCTAGCAAAATTATTTAAGCAAAAAATGGAGACTTTTCACAAAAACAGAAAAACACACAGGTTTTAACACTTGCTGTAGATAAATAAGCACTTGTATGGTGATAAAAGTGAAACATGATTGCTATTACTTTGCAGGAATATGTCATAACAACTATAGTATAACTTTCTTTGAAGAGTTTGCAAGAGTTAGTCAGACTCCAAACCTTCAATCGGAGTGGATTCCAGCAAATTCAGTTGGATATTCAGTTTTCGAAGTCTACTTTAAAGGATATTGCCGAGGATGAAGCTGCAATTGATTTCTTGCTTGATGAGGTAAGAAGCCAAATCTTTGTTAAATCATTGTGATCCTCGCATGTCCAACTCTACGAAGCTAGGTTGTGCTTTCCAACTTGAAGTGGTGCCAAAAAAATTGAAGTAATATATGTTTTCTCACAAGTCACAATTAAACAAAGTTAAGAATATTTTGACTTAGTAGTAAATCCACCCCAAGTTAAGTACTTTACTATTCGATTTCCCCTTAGCTTCTAGAGCAAAGTTGAGACGGGAATGGTTCATTGCTCGTGCAATTGTAGTGAAAGGTTGTGGACCGACTTGTTCCTCTTTGAAAGTTGAGAAAATAGGTTGGTGACCAATGGAGCAATTCCCCTTTTACAAACAATACATAAATGGAAGAAGATTTGAAGTTCAATAACAAGTATTGAATGATCATCTTTTTCATTGATTTAATCCAATACTTTCAAAAAGTTTCTTCTTTGACTTCTATAATAGGATGATAAATGTTGTGCATTTGGTTGAATAGGTGATTGATGCTACTACAAAGCGTTGTCTCAATCCAGTTCCTCTTGGAACTTTCAATTTTAGACAGACTTGTAAAGACAAAGTTGACAAAGACTTCACAACATAGTCCAGCTTCTGAAGAGAATACGTCAAATTTCTAAATTGCTGTTTATTTTGCTTACTAATTGTCATTTGTTAAGTGTTAATTGGGCTACTATTGGCTCTATTTTGCATGGGGTAACCAATTCAAGCATTCATACATTTTCGCCATGAGGTTCTTGGAATATTTGTCTATAATGTTTTAAATTCTTTTGTTCAGTGAAAGTTGTCACCCTGGATTCATTATGAAAAAGGGACTACTGAAGTAAGCAGGCACATACATGTTTGAGTAGAGAATATTCAATAGTGAAATACATCATAGTGCCCATTAATGACAATTTTTGGTATAAATTATAGCACAATGAATAAGACTTTTCATTCTTTTAATACAATTCATTATTGTATGCTTGTTCTTCTGGTGATAAATTACATGGAAACTGAGCAACTTTTGGTTAAACAAATTATTTTTTTCCTTGTCGAATTTAACTATTACTGACTATTGTGGAAAAAATTTGCTCTCCATCCTTGAATTGATCTCAAATAAAATAAAATTAATATAATCTTTGAAAAAGATGTATAGTTTTACGATACCATAGACTCGTGTGTTGTAACATAATATAAAATGTTGTGTTAATTAAATTAATAATGGAAAAAAGAGTTGAAATTGGCTAATAAATAGGCAGTCATCTTGGCCATGGGACAATTAGATTTAAGATCCTAAAGATGCAATATGTGGATAGTTTCTTGACACCCAAACAAAAAAGGTATAACAATAAGAAAACGAGGAAATATTAATAGATGGGATATTTACGGAGGCCTCAAACCTTCTAATAATATGCATATTACATCCAAACCTTGAGGTGCCAAACTTTTCAAAACTGTGAGGCAGAAGGATCTCTGAACAATTTCCGTCCAAAAATCTGCTAGTTGACCAAAAGTCTACGTTTAACCACAATTTGACAAACTTTAATAGGGGCAAAATAATTTAATAACATTTAAAAAGTGCTCATGAGAAAATAAGTTATCTATAAGCTTTTACAATTTTTAAAACGAATAAGAATATCAATATGCATTGCTAATCCTTCAACTTTAAATGGAGTTGTATTCGGGTCATATATTTTCAATTCGTTCAACCAGGTCATACATGTTCAATTTGTGCAATCAAATCTTCCAAAGTCGACTTGCTTGCAAATTTAACCACTCTATCCACTTTCCCATTAATTTAGCTAACATAAAATGCTGATTGAGAAGTTAAAACTAATTTAGCCCACGTCTGGTAGAGATTCTTAAAGAACTAATTTTTAATCACATATTTTTTTTCAATCAAATAATTTTGCACGTGTACCAATGTTTCTCCCATTTTTAACCACACATTCTTCAAAAGAGACCGATTTTCATAATTTAGTCCCTATTTGAACTTCATTTTCTAAAGAAATCATTTTTTTTCCCAAAGTCAATTTCAACCACATATTTTTTTTAATAAAATAATTTTTTTACATTGTTCAAAATATTTTTATATTTTTTAATAATATATTCTCCAAAAAAATTAATATAACAAACCTCATTTTCACCAAAAAATGAGGCTCAAACTAGGACTTATTCTCTAAAATTCTACATCAAACAGACTCTTAATGTAATTGTCTAAAACGTCAGCTATCCATTAATTTTAATGTCTAGCTCAAATATATTGCATTAATTAAATTTAAATTAGTTTTATAATCAATTCAAAGTTAAGTGATTTGATTGTACTAAATTAAGAGAATATCTAAGAGAATTTCTATTTTCAAAGAGCATTTTATTTTATTTTTTAATTTAGAAAGTATATATAAGTACTTCAACAAATTATTTATCTTTAACACTTAATTTTACCACTTTAAAAAATATATATTATTTTATTCTACCTTTTATTTTCGCTAGTTTTCGTCGAAATTATTATATTATTTTTCTTCATTTAATGATCGAAAGTGGTTTGACTTTCAAATTAATCTTTATTTTAAAATGTTAATTTAAAAAGTCTCTTGAAATATAATTTTAAGAATTGACTCTTAAAGTGAAGATATTTTATGTTTAAAGAATATTTGGAGATGTTCTAAATTGGGTTCCATAATTTGCCAAACATTCTTGTAATGAAGAAGTTAACTTTGCAGCTCATTCAACATGCTCCCATTTTCTTTCTCCTTCACCAACCCACAGCATCGCTGTCTAGCCACCGAACGAGCCTGCGACCATTACTTCTTTTTTTTTTTTCCCTTTGAATTTCCCAGTACTATGAATTTGCTATTTAATTGAGACTGTGGAAGAAATTTCTACTCTTCAAATCCAAATCCCACTCAATTTAAGCATTCCTTTTTTGTTGAATTTACACTAAAGGGCTATATATTAGAGCATTTTGAGGAAATCATAGATCTTCGAATCCACGTCCCACTCAATTTAAGCGTTCTCTTTTTTCTTCGATTTACACAAAAGGGCTGCATTTTGGGCATTTTGAAGAAACCCCTACTCTTCAAATCTATTTTTCACTCAAATTCCACCAGAAATACCACTGTAAATGGCAAACTCTTCCTTAGCGCCACCGAATTACAAATCTGAACGGTACGGGGTTGATGAATTCAAGGAAAGCAAACTAACGGTAGCTCTCTGTCCATGTGTTTTTTGCTTCATTCTTTTACTCGTAGTAGTCTCTATTGTGCTTTTTGTGAAATTCCATTTATTTTGTCACACCCCTCTTCATTCTCTCCTCTTCAAAAAATATTGCCATTAAACCCACTTCGAAAGCTGAGATTTCCCTACAATCACAGTATTTCCTTTTATTGCTTTTATACTTTTAGGGTCTTTAATACGTGTGATTGGATTCTGAGAATGAGCGTTGCGGAAATGAATCAATTGTCGTTAAAAATGTGAAATGGAGTACCGGTTAGGAGGAGGTGGAGATGGTGAGTGAATTGATTCAGATCAAAGATATGAGTTTGAAGGTGAATATTGAATGATTTTAGATGAATGCGAGTTGCCTTTTAGTCGAGATCTGCGATGATTATTGTCCTTGAGAAGAGGAGACAGTTTGAGACCATCGTGTCTGTTCTCGAAGAAATGAGGAGAATGATCTGCTCGAGATGGAAACGTTTATTATGGTGATCGAAGCATTTGTTTCTGTGAAGGAGAGGAAATTACTGTTGGGATTTTCATCTATGGAGAAGTTTAATATACTAAAATTGTGGAAGAGATGTATCATACTCTTTGCTGGGAAAAGATGCACAGGCTTTCTTTGAGAAATTGGGATGTAGTTTCATGCTGAATTATAGCATTTATAACGTTTCTGCTCAGTCTTTGGCGCCAGGCGAAGATTTTAATGGAGTCGTGCAGGAGGTGAAAAAAGAAGATCGAAAGGGTATATAAGTTCGATGCTGCATTATACACTTGTTTGATTGCGGAATTTGTGACTCAAAAGAAGATCGAGATATGTATAAGTTGTTGAAGAATATGAAGGAGAAAGGACCCCCCATCACCCCAGCCTGTTGCACAGACTTGCAACACTCTGATCAAGGAGAAAATTTTCCATGGGATGGTGGTCCACCTTGTCAGGTGGCCCACCACCCAATCCCAAGGTGTGTGGGCCACCTGCCGAGGTGGCACACGGTGCGACCACCCCATGGAAGACTTTCTCTTGATCAAGATGATGTGGTCGGGAAATAAAAACAAGTTGATCAATCAGCAGTGGCATTTAATTGACCATTTTACATTTGCAAAGAGATAATGATACCATACGAGTTTTGCAGTTTTGGAGGAGAAGCTGTTGCCAAGAAATGGTAGAAAAGGGAATGATGGAGCCTCAACTTGGTTACAAGATTTTTCCTAGGCAGTAAAAGGCTAGCATCCAAAATTGATGAATCAACCCTCTCAGGGCTGATGATTCCATTGCTTGCGCAAATGACATTTTGGTCTATCGGTCATATTTCTACTACCTAAATACTTTTATCTCTATTATGTTGTAAGAGAAATGCTATTTGTACATTACAGTGTACACTCGCCTCACAAGAGGGAGGATCCACATCCAACAAAAAAATGCATGCCAAAGTGTACACCAGAATTTACATATAGCAAAACTCGTTTTGTAATATAAGATTTGTTGTTGAGATTTGAGAACTCGTATCTTACAATGTGGGTGTACAATTTTCGGAAAAATAAGATCGATATATATATATATATTTGAAATAAAATCGATAAATTCTAAAATAAATTCAAAATATAAAATTGATATATTTTGAACTCAATTTATTATTTATTTTTATTTTACTTTTGTAGTGATAAAAAATATTATAAGATTTACCAAATTTAAAATGTATATATTATCTGATAATATATTAACATAAGATTCATTTATTTTTACTGAATAATTAAATTTTATAGAATAAAATGTTAAATAAATTTTCAAGATTTCAAATCAGGCGTATTTTTTAGTTTTCTATTTTTGAGAAATAATATTTAAAAGGATAAATTATTACTTTTTTTTTTGCAATTTTAAAATAGATTCTCAAAAAAATAATAAATAAATAAATAAATAAAAGTAAATTGAAAATTGCCTACCAAAAGGGCCTTATTGATTTGGTTGAGATTTTTCTCATCTGACCGACTAAAGTGTCAGGGTTCTCGTGTACACAATCTTTACTCGGCTAACGACATAGTTTTGGTTCACTTCATCATCAGTTGGAACTTGGTTGAATCGGAAGATGAATATAAGTATATTTTTTGGTCGTTAAAATTTCTAAAGCATTTTCTTTTTAAAAATTTTTGAAATTCATTCATTTCATCATCATACCTCTTATTTTTATTTTATCGTCAAATAACATTGCATTTGTACATAGTGTTCATGTTAATCGGTTTATGATAAGAAAATAGACGTTTATAAATTATAAATCATTCTCTTGTCTTTACTATTGTGTCTATTTAATTTTTGCTCATTTTAGATATTAATTTTTTAATTCATTGGATTGGGTTGGGTTGGATTGAGTTTTAATACATAATCCGAGACCCAAGTCACCCAACCCAACTTCAAATTCAATTTTCCGACACAACCCAACACAATTGAACTTAAAAAATCAATCCAAACCGATCGATTTGGTTTGGATTGGTCGGATTGAGTGGTTTGGATTGGGTTATGCCTAGCCCTACAAATACCGAGAGCAAGGAAATATTTAATCTTTACTTCTTTTATAAGTCCTTTTTTTTTTTTTGGTTTTTTAAATAAAAAATCAGTTTTTGAGAAAAAAATTATAGTTTATGTAAAATCGCTTTTATGCAAAATTATAAAAAATTAATTTTTTATAACTAAAAACAATATTCTTAATCAGCGTTCTTAAACTGTTTTCGTTTTAAGAATCGATGAATCTCTTTAAATTTATCCGTTAGTCATAGTTGAAGTTGTAACTTAGCAAATACTCAAGTATCCAATAAAATATTATATGTTTATATCTCCAAGCTTTCATAAATAGTGAACAAGTCAACAGCCACGTGATGGAATAGACTAGTGATGAACTCACTGTCACATGACATGTGATCAAACATTGAAAATCCAATGCCACGGGACTTCATGTTCAAGACAAAAGATAGATGCACTAAAGGCATAACTGCAAATAAATAATCTATTCTATATCTAATAGTTTAAGTTTTCAGACGAGTTCCTAACACTCAAGTGACATAGCATTATTCAGCTGCATAATTGTGTGTAGTAGCCGATGGCATATTTAGTATGCAATTAAAAGAGAAAAGTAAGTTAAAACCCTTATTTGTTATATTTTTTGTTTTGTCTAATAGTCGAGTAATTTCATCGTTTATGTTGGACCTTGAAATTTAGTGAAAACACATGGTCGAAAAAATTCAACTCCTCTTTCATCCACGTATATCATACATGTATGATTGGACACTATGTTAGACTGTTTGTGACCATAGATTCAATGGTATGCAATGATCGTGAGCACTCCTACGCTCAAGTCAAACAGTGAAGAAAGTATTTAACTGTGGAAGAGATACTGGATGCTGAGTTGATGAATATCAAGCTTGCAATATGATAATGGTGTTCAAGATTAGATTCAAAGTTTTATTATATTTGAAAGACTGAGTGTGGACTTCTATGATGTTCAAGATTACATTCAAAGTTTCATTATATTTGAGAGACACCGAGTGTGGCCTTCTATATCAAGGGAGATGAAGTGATGTTCATTGAATGCTTAACATGTGACTTCATTCTAACATTTTAGATGTCAACCTCAATTGGGTCAAAGTCATCGTTTCTAGGTCATACACTTGTGGCTGTCTGACGAAAAGATTGAAAAGCACCTTGTGTCATAAAGGCAATTTCAAAGTGGATTCAAAAGTTTATTAAGTATATCTACTGTTGAATGTCAAATCTGTCAATGTATAAAGTATTTTTTTACGTTGTATCTTTTGGTCGAGATTGTACCCGAAAATATATCATTCATCGAAGACGTTCTCAAAAATACATTCCAGCAGGAGGTGGTGCCTAAAGAGTGAGTTAAACACAAAATTTATAATTTATGAAATGACACGTGCAAAATGGCAGGTGAAAGTGGAGAAGAAAGTTGGGAGTGGAGATGCAAAGGATGTGATCTGCGTAGCTGTGGAGAATTTGGTTATTGGATGCAATGACTATGATTTTATCAAAAAGTACCTCAAAGGCTTATTTTATAGTATATTTAGGAATATCACTCTTTTATAAATACTAATTTTTTAATCGTACTTTTCACGTTGTATAATTTTTCAAAAGATTTTAAACTTTATATCTTTTATTTAATGCTGAAAATTTTAAACAGTAAAAATGAACTTATTATACCCAAAAATATCTACGCGACAAATTATCTTATTAAAACATCTACACCTTGAAAACCAAAATCCTAAATAATTTCAATAAGAAACTACCATATGCGAATTGTCTAAAAATATAACTTAGTACAATAAATTTGAAATATTCACCCTACAACAAAGAATTAAATTGTGCAGAATATAATAATTCGTTAATTCTGAAGTAGACACACTAATAAATTATTATCCGCATTTATGCAACACTTAAACCTTGAATTCTCTTTTTTCATGCTCCTCCTACATATACTATATAATCACGAAATCTCTTCCAGCTTACTTGCATGCCCCTATTTGATTCCCTTTAAGGAGATATGTTTTTATTTTTCAGGTAATTTTCTCTCTCATTTACCCTCTCTTATTTACCCACCAATAAAAAAGGACAAGTATAATAGGCTGAAAATTAAATTAATCAAATACATTTAATTGACAATTTCAATGAAAATAATTTCAAAGACAATTGAATTGTCTAGAATTTATTTTCTTTCATGTAAATTCTATGTTTGCAATCAAATACACTATAATTTATTTCTCATACTCATTTTTAACTATATAGTCACACAATAAAATATTTTACATGTAAATCTAATTTTTTTCCTACTTTTTAACAATAAATTCTTCAACAAAACACTATTTAAAACTATGTTTTTCACAAATTAAAGATCACCAAACAGGGACTAAATAATAAACCTGACCAAAAGAAAAAATCCAATAAAATAGCAGTAATTATCAAAAATCAAAATCACCAATCAATACATAAAACATATGAACAAATATATACAAAGAACAAAAAATTTCGTACCAAATATGCAATTAGAAATACAATATTTTCACAAATCTTCCAACTTGTCATAAATGATAAACCTACTCAAAAGAGAAAAAAAAAAAAAAAAGTTGCAATAATTACCCGAAAATGAAATCACAAATCAAACTCACAACATAAAATACGAACAAAAAAATATAGAAAATAATCTTACCAAATATGCAACAATTCTTAATAATAAATTCTCTTCCATCTCATCCAAAAACAATATACACTCTCAAAGAAACAACTCAAAACAACAAAAATAATTACCAAAAATTAAAATTACTAATCAAATACATAACATAAATACAAACAAAAATGTATAAAAAATATTACGAGTATGCAACACCACTTAACCACATATTCTCTTCCATCTCACCATGTTGAAAATTAAAAAAAAAAATCTAATTCTAAAAGCATAAAATCATGAATCAAGTAAGAAATATAGTTCCAAAAAAAGAAGTATAGAAGTAAGGAAAAATTGCATATAAAAGAATCGTAAATAATTAAACCAGATCATACGAATTTACGGATTTTTAGCGTAGCTTTAGAGAAGAGGATAAAACTGCAGATGACATGATGATAAAAGAATTGATAAATTATTGAAAATAATAATTTGTCTCGTATATAAATTAATGATGAATTATTAGAAAATGATTTTTCATCTTATATCTTATCAAATGAATGTAAATTAATGATATTTAAACTATTGAATGAGTTTTATTTGCAATGGAATTTTCAGGAATTTATAGTCATTCGCATCATGAGTAAATGATTATCAATATGATTTTTAATATGTAATATTAGGTTTCTTAGTAAGCTCTTGTTTGGATCTCATATTTTAGAATACAATATTTGAAAAAATCATTTTCAACTACATTCTCTCTATTAAATAGTTTTAAAACTTTTCTTACTTTTTCACCATATATTCTTTAAAAAATTAATTTTAATTCTGGGGCTCGATTGAGGCTAAATGTTAATTGTATTTGCAAATTAATTATCTAAGTAGTATTATAAGAACTTTTTAAATTGAATATAATAACATTTTTATTAATTGTATATCATTAATTGTGTTCTGTGGAAATTAATTGACTTAATCTTTTGAAAATAATAACACAAGTTATAATTTATTTAGTGGAAATAAATTGAATATAAAAGGATATTGTTGACAATGAACATAAAAACGTAAGCTAAAATGAGCAATAGAATGCTTCCCACATATTCACGCTTTTTATGTGGGTAATTAGCATATAACGTCCCTATATTTCAATATTATTGTGGAAAATGTTCATACCTTTGGCATTTTACATTTAATTATACATTTGATTGTGCAAAACATCATTTTCATCAAATTTCTCAATAAAAAGTTGTAAGTGATAAACATACTCTCTTATTTAAATAAAAAGAAAAGAAATGAAAAATAAAGAACTATTTGCAATTATATTCCCAAATTTTTAAAAAAGTT